GGAAATGGCAACCCACTCCAGTACTCTTGCCTGGAAAATCCCATGGACAGCAGAGCCTGGTAGGCTACAGTCCATGGGGTCGCAAAGAGTTGGACATGACTGAGTCACTTCACTTTCACTGTCAATTCCTCAAAGATTTTAATGTGTTGGAAAAAATGGTCTTTCCAGATTAGTTTCTTTACCACACAAAGAAAATCTACAATCTGATATGTCTTGCCTGTTCAGATACCAGAAACTCTGAGCTCATTTTTGTTTTGTCTTCTTTTAAATTTTCCAAGGGATGTCTTTTTGTCTTAAACTCTTCACCTTTATTCTTTGTTGTCACAAGTAATTTCTTTCTTTTCCAAAATCCTTTTATTTTTCTCTTTTTTTAAACCCAGAATGCAGGAAGAGGCCACTTTTTTTCCAAATGCCAACTTCACTTTCATTTTCCATTATAGGTATTATTGTAAAACACTTGGTCTACTAAGTTAGTATTTAAAAACACTTTTATTCAAAGAACTATGTTAACAAATTAATTAAAGCTGAACAGTAAAAGAAGCCTTTGAATTTGAAAAGCTATTTTGAAAGAGTATGAGAGCATTAGCATTGTAATTCATGTGACAAATAGGGAAAGAGCTATAATTTGTTGCTTTAATCATTTTAAGATAAAGTTGTTTTATATTTACACAGTGGTACTGTTGAAACTGTGTTCTTTCTTTGTAAGTTATTTCAGTTAAACATTTTCTATTGAGAATTGTTGTGGGGCAAAGAAATATGCCTAGATAACTAGTACTTGAATTATTTTCAGTTAATCTGACTTTTCAAAATTTTGATCGCATTCAGAACAATACTTTCAGCCAGTTGACAGCATCATTCTTTGTCAGGGAGGAGATCAAGCTTTGAATTCTAAGCATAAGTAAGAAAACCACTATGACTAGAATATTTTCTTTGTTGGTGTTTTTATTTCATTTTTATTATTTTATTTATTTCATTCTTATTTCATCTTGTCTGTTTATCAAAATATTGGTGTTATGCTTAAGCTTTACTAAGACTAGTTCCAATAAAATAAACACTGCAATTCTAAACTGACATTTCTCTTTTAAATCCCTTAAGAGTCCAGCCCCTGGCACATGTAAAGATGTACAGGAAATATGGAAGACAAAACCCCTGCCCTTGTAGCATTTAACCCTGCTCAACTTTTTGAAAGGTGAAAATTAACCACTCATCTTAATGAGCGTTTGATTTTTAAAATAGAAGTATGGAAGAGATTTTTTTCCCCCTTTATTTTAATAAATCAACCAATAGCCCCCATTATAGCCATAGTTATGTGAACATAAAGTGAGGAAATGTTCATGCCTCTCTTTTACCCCCTACAGATACTGTCTGCCATGTCCTGATTTTTTGGCCATGTCGAGTCTTAGCTGTGGCTCAGGAGATCTTTGCTGTGGTGCAGATCCTCTAGTTGTGGTATTCAGACTCAGTAGTTGCAGTACACAGACTTAGTTGCCCTGCACCTAATGATCTTAGTTCCCCGAGCAGAGATCAAACCCTCATTCCCTGCATTGCAAGGCAGATTCTTATCTACTGGACAACCAGGAAGTCCCTACCATGTCCTGGTTTGATACAATTAATCAAGAAAAGCTTCACAAATGAGCAAAACTCTCTTAGATACTCATCAACATTACATCTAATCCCTACTTTTTACTTTGCCCCTCCAGGCATTTACTTAATTTCAAATCATAAATTTTGGTTTAAGACTTAAAAAAAAAGCACATTGTTTTCTAAAAGCATAAATTACTAAATTTCTCTCATTAAAACCCAGCTACAACATAATGATATAAAACTCGTAAGTGGAAACACACATACTGCTTGGGACTTAAAAAATAACATCTCTATTTTATCTCATATTGTCACAAAAGATGTCCAAGTACTTTACAAAAATTAATTTTCAAGAATAGTTCAATTAGACATCTCTATACTCAATAACTGAGGTAATTAAGACAGCAACTAAGAGAGTTTTTCTATTCTTCACGTTGCATGGATTTGGGACCAAATCTGGCCATTCAGAAATCTGAAAAAAGTATTGTTTTATTTTTATTTTTTTATTTTTTATTATTTTTTTGAAAAAAGTATTGTTTTAAATAGCCAGTTGTTTCATTTGCCTAAGAATTTATTGCTAGACCATCAACTATGTAAAATTTTGTATTAAGACTCTTAGTTTAAAATTCCCATAAAATAGATGACACATTTCAGTACATCCGTTTCATATACTTCTTGGATACAATATACTTATTTACCTTTTTCTGTGTAACTTGGAGCCACAAGGATCAACCTTATTTATTGCCCAGTGTTACAATACAGGTATGTCTTACAGGGTGAGGAGCTGTTTGTCCTTCTACTAAGTAATGTCTTTGTGCCAGCTTTTTAGTTTTCTGCTTCCTCTCCTGCTGTTGTTTTCCTGCTGATGGTAGTTTTTTACTTCCTTCTCTTGTTTGGATTTAATCTATTGAGAGAAACCAACCAGCTAGGCTTAGAATCATCTCAAGCGAAGTACAGGTTCCAAGTGACGGTCTGTGGAATTCTCCAGCAAGTATCCAGGAAAGCCAGTGCATGGACTTTGTCACAGTAGCACTGGCTCTGAGAAGCTTGTCTGCATTACTTCTTGGTCCTGGGTAAAATTCTGGATTGAGTCAAGAGTTATAGTGCAAAGGTTATCCATGGACTTGAGGGGAAAGTCAAACTAATTATATTGTTCATATTCCTTCTGTTTTATGACTGCTTTGCCGAAAAGTCACATCTTTCTCTTTAATAAAAAATCAAGATTCTTAACCTAAGCAATATCTTTTTTCTGCTGTAAACTTAAGTCATATCTCCAACATAATAAACAGCAGGTATATGGATGATTCACTTCCTTTTAAAAGAGATTACAAGTAAAACAATGAATGATTAATATGAATAATCTGTCATGTCTCCAAAATAGATATCATGTAAATCACAAGAAAGGTCCAATCAGCCTCTGTTACGTCTCCTTTTCTCTTTAAAACAATACAGATATTCATAAAATTTTCCATTTACATTCTCTGTGATTCAGTCATGCTAACTGTGTACTATATTATTTAAACCTCAGAATTATTAGGTGTTAGTCCTTTCTTAAATTTTGATAAGAGCACTTTTTCATTACTTGTTATGCAACAATGAATTGTAAGAATTGGTCCTGTGTTACCAGGAATAGAAATAAAACATGGTCTGCGACTTCCAATGGAGTAGACACAGTCCTTAATTAATGTATGTGGGACATTTCACTTAAGGAGCAATCACATCTTTAACTGATCCTTATTTCTGTTTATCTATGTAGCTAAATGTGAAAATAACCCTTTGTTTTTTAAAAAGTAATTTAAAAAAATCTCCTAGAATTAGTCATCTCTAAACTTTCCATGGTTTTTTTTTTTTTTTTTTTTAGTTCTACCAGTTTATTGCTACCAGCCCATCTCCCTCCACCCTCGTGCACACATGCTCAGTCATGTAACCCCATGGACTGCAGTCCATGGACTTTTCCAGGCAAGAATACTGGAGTGGGTTGCCATTTCCTTCTCCATAAACTTTCCATGTTTTAAGTCACTTTTTGGAGGCTTGTAATTGAAGCACACACTGCTATCAATACGGACACAATTTAAATTAACTGCCAGGCTTAGGAACCAACACTTTCATGTCACCAGTCACTCTTTGGGCACTGGTTTTGCCCTTAATGTGGAAGGAGTTTTGGAATTGTTTTTCTCCTGACAAGTTTTACTGAACAATGCAATAGAGAAAAGAAAACTTTTCATCATTTGGAAAGTATTTATTGGAAGTCTTTTTTGTGCTTTTCAAAAATTAAAGCTGTACCTTTCTGATATTAAATATAAAATATTTTTCTTAATGTATGGAAACAAACCAAGTTTAGACTGGTAGTAGAATGAGTGGCAATTTAGGAAGAGCATTTTACCTTTCAAATTGGAGTTAGGCATAGATATGAAAGTTTTATATGTTATACAAGCTCTTTGAATCGCTACACATATACATATACATATTGGCCGCACTGGGCCTTCGTTGTTGCCCAGAGACTCTTTTTTTGGTGTGCTCAGGCTTTCTCTAGTTGTAGTACACAGGCTTAGTTGCCTCACAACTTGTGGTATCTTAGTTCCTTGACCAGGTGTTGAACCTCTATCCCCCACATTGGAAGGTGGATTCTTAAAACCACTGGACCACCCAAGAAGTCCCGGAATTGCTATATTGCATGCAGATGTAATTTATTATAACCCTCAGAAATAAAAGAACTCAAAATATTAACTTGTTTTCTTTTAAAATCCAAAAACTAGTCTTGAAACGTCTGAATTTCTTGAAAGTCATTTCCATTTAAATTTCTATATTGTTCAATAACAATCATTTCTAGGTATCTATTGTTCTAACCTAGAATAGCATCTTTAGATTAATTTATGGTTATCTAATCAGCAGAACTTGTTTTCATGGATTTTTTTTTTTTCATTCTTAAATGATTTACAAACTTTCAACATGTAAATATAGGCAATTCTCCTTATCTCTACCTTTTCCCCTTCAGTTTCCCTTTGGTTTCTTTATCTCTTATCTATCCTTTCTTGATGATTAGTTAGATATGGGTATTATTGAAGCAAAAGTCATGCATTAGGCATTTCCCAGGGCTGCCTTGCCCTTCTTATTATGGTCAACACATTCCCCTAACTGTTCCATTGGTCATATCAACCAGTTTTTGTTCAGCTCTGACCAAACAGTACTGTCCATAGTGTTAACACCACCTAAGAAACATGGTACATTGGTTTAATTCTGTGTTGCAACACAAAATTGAATTGTAGCAGGATTGTCAGTCACAGTGACCAGTTGGAACTTTTCACTTGCACAGACTCAAGGCCCTGCTTTAAGGCTAAAGTAGAGGATCTCAAGGTGAGGAATTCTTATTTGATTAACTTCTACCAGGAAATATCAGCACCTTGTTTTTCATCTTCTAGGAACCAAAGAAGTTGTTGTAAGTGTGGATGACAATGGAATCATTTCCTTGAACTTTGAATGTGATCAGATGGCTCCAAGTTCTGAGTTCACCTGGTCCAAAGATTATGTGCCCACGGAGGACTCTCCGAGATTAGAGGTTGAAAGCAAAGGCAACAAGTACGTACCGTCTCAATCGTAACTATGCGTTTCCTTTTCATGAAAGGAGCGTGAAGCAAGCTGTTTTCCATTTCAATTAAGAGAATGAAGTCACACATATTTTTATCTGGTAGTGTAAAAAGTGATAACCAGTATAAACCTTAAAAAATAACAATCCTTATAAAGTCTTTTCACATTATTCCACTGAAAATGCTTTCTCATATGTTATCTTATTGTTGACTGAAAAAAAGGTGAGAAGACATTTTATTTAGGGCAAAAATGAGGACTATAGCCCACAAGACAGCCTTTCAGATAGCTCCGAGTAACTGCTCCAACAAAGTAGCTGGAGAGGTCAGAATAGATGTGATTTTGGTGAAGGGGGAAGTGAGAAGTCAAGCACATGTTTTGGCAGAAGCTTGCTGCTAGTCATGAGCAGCAGATGTTAATGACTTTAGTGCTTCTCTAGATATGAGAAGGTGCAAGAAATTGTTGTTCAGTCACTAAGTCGTGTCTGACTCTTTGCGACACCACGAACTGCAGCACACCAGGATGTCTGTCCTCCAGTATCTCTCGGAGTTTGCCCAAACTGGTGTTCATAGAGTCAGTGATGCCATACAACCATCTCAATCCTTTCTTTCACTTGGTAAGAAGTTGAGCTCATAGAATCTTCTGAAAAACACCCTACTATCTGAAGTCCTACTCTGCCAGTTTTTCCAAGAGCACAGAGTGCCTCATTCTTGATCTCTGCCCTGAACTCCTTTTGGGGTGTGTTGAAGGTCAGCAACTGCAGTGGCCAGTGGTTTCATCCTTGTAGAGGCAGATGGCAAGCAACAATTTTTAGTTGGCATAATTTATGGTGCAAGAAAAGCTTTGATTGACATTAAAGTGAACTTGAAAGATGATTCTCATTATTCTATGAGATTCTGAAATCTTAAAGTAATGGTGAGGATCCTTATGGGGAGATGGGTAAGGAAGAACTTGCTGATTCAAGTTCTGGTAAATTAAATGGATTAGGTATAATCTGTTCTAGTTTTTCACCACCACTTGTGAGAGACACAGTACTTCTCTGGAACAAACTCTATAGGAGAGAGAAGCATGGGAGAGGTGATCTCAAGTCACAGCTTTACCAGGAGCCGCTTGTGACCTGGGGCAGGTTTTAATTTCATGGACCTCCAGTTTCCTTCTCTGTAAAACAGAAGACAGTGAAGGGGATTAATTTTATGATCTGCTACTTCCTTCAACCTCAAGATTCTGAGTTTTTAAATTTCATCTTACTTATCAAGCTTTGTATCTTTATAGTGCCAACCAGATTAGATTACGTTTGGTAAAGCACAATATTTCTAAGTATTATTTCTATTACAAAAAAATCCAATATATCCCAAGTTAAAAGAAAGAAGTAGTAATTTTGTTGGAGAGAACAGCAAGGAAATACTCTATATAATTAAAAGACATTCTGCTGTCACTGTGCTGTAAGATCCTTGAAGTAAAACATAATTTTGGTCAAAGGAAAGACAATCAAACTGTAACTATTTCTTCCTTGACTAACTTGACAAATATATAAATGTTTGGATGACCTTAGACACTGACTAGCTATGTGATTCACAAAAGTTAGAAAACAAAGTGAACTAGACCATTGATCCATACATTCATTCCACAAGTATTTATTAAGCACATAGTATGTGCCAGATTAGGTATGGATGCTGGAAGTCACAACAGTGAACAAAACAGATCTCGTCCCTAAAGACACAAAGTGGAGCCATGTAGTCAATGAAGTAGGCAATACCGAAGTCATGTAATAACCTCCAAAATGGGAAGTGCAAGGAATGACATAACAGGGGCATTGGGTGGTTCTGCCCTGTGAAGAAAAGGATTTTCAGGCTTCCCAGCGAGGGTTGACCAGCTGAAAATCTCTTTACTTGGGATATGCATTGATATGCATCGTAGCTTGGGGATGGGAGATCGGTACCATCTCCTCATCCCATCACCATCACCCCATGGGAGGAGGTAAGGAAAGCCTTCCCAGAAGCAGCAAGAGTGGGTGAGTGTTAGGTCAGCAAGGCAGATGGAACACATGCTCCATGTGATGGGAGCAACATGTGTAGATGGCTGGAGACAGGGCAGGGCACAGCCCCCAGGCCCTACACAACCTCACTTCTTATAAAACATTCTGTTCTGAAGGACGAAAATGACCTTCAAAGACCTCGGGACGGAAGACTTGGGCATTTACTCCTGCGATGTCACAGACACTGATGGAATAGCATCGAGCTACTTGATAGATGAGGAAGGTAGGTCAAAATCAGTTCATCCATGGGTTGACTCCTGCTTTGACTTCTCACTGGTTCTCCAGGATTAAGTGACTTCTGTTTTAGCAGTTCAAGCTGTAATTGTTCTCATTTTCTCCCTACAGAATTGAAACGTTTGCTTGCTCTCAGCCAAGAACACAAGTTCCCAAGTAAGTGTCCACAATATACTCACAGAGTTCAGCCATGGCACTAGACAATTCTGACAGGATCAAGAGAGGACGCTCTTGAGAACGTATAATGGAACATACATTGGTAGCTGCAGATGTGCTTTCCAAAGGGGCTGCTTTTAGTTTTCCCTTGTTCTCCAGAAATACAAAGAACAGTGACAGGAGACATCCCATGCTCTGCTACACAGAGCACCGTCAGGTTACCTAGGTGTAACAGTTGAGTGGTTACATTCTTCATCTGTTGCTACATATTTTGGAATATTATATATGTATACACACACATAAATATATCTTCTAGACACAGTAATTTGTATATCTTTTAGGCAAACAGCTCTTTCTAAGCAATTTAATGTTAGCTTTTAATAGAAGGACCATACCTCTAAATAAAGACAATCTAAAGACAGTACCCTATGGGGTGTCCCTGATGGCTCAGTAATAAAGAACCCGTCTGCCAATGCAGGAGACCTGGGTATGATCCCTGGGTTGCAAAGATCCCCGGGAGAAGGAAATAGCAACCCCCTCCAGTATTCTTGCCTGGGAAATCCTTTGGACAGAGGAGCCTGGTGGGCTATAGTCCATGGTGTTGCAAGAGAGTCGGACATGACTTAGCGACTAAACAACAACAACAAAGACAGTACCTTACACTTTAAATTCCTGGAAAATAAGGTAAAGATGCCTTGATCAGAGTAAGAATCTCTCTGAGCTATCATCAAACCCTTCAATGAAGCACCCTCTACATAAAAGATTAATTTCCACAGGTGACACCTAAGAGAAGAGAAAGAAGTCTGAAACAATACTTGGAAAGTTCCACTGACCTGATTGGGTCTGTTAACATTGGTATCCACTGGCCAAAGTAGTGAAGCATCCGAAAAGTTACACTCTGAAAAAACAGAGTGATAGCATCACTCGTTCTTTTAATTCAGAAATTTTGTTTTCCATCCTTAATCCCTAAGATATAACTTCTTCACTAATACAAGAGTTTCAGGAACCCAGGAAACCATACCCTGACCCCAAACTGTAGGCAAAACTTTGTATGTTGTATGTATGCATATTTCTAGGGAGAGGGCCTCCAGCTTTCCTGAGATTCTCAGCAGAGCTGTGATTAAAACACAAAGCTCTAAAACCAGTTGCCTGACCTCTTCACATTCCAAAAGAGTCCACGTCGTGCTTCGTGGTGCGGCTGGGTGCTGCTGACTGCTGGCCTCAGCTGGAAAGTTCGCAAAACCAGCTTTATTCTGCAGAGCGCAGTGGGACGCCTGTGGGGTGTGGGTGCTGGATGCAGGCTTTCTGAATTCCAGGGGAGGGCCACTTCTCTTCTGTAAGCTTATTCACCATGAAACTGGAAAAGTAACCCCGTGAATAGTGTCTTAAAAGCTATTTCTTTTTAAATTGTAAGAGCAGAGGTTGGCCTGGGCTCTCTTTGTTCTGTGCTCTGTGAACCTGAACAACTCACCCCACTCCCCCAAGGTCTTAGTTTCTTTTCCAGGAATAGCTGTTATAATCAACAGCCCCCATCATATAGAGGTGCTGTGAGAGCCAGTCAACAGGCCATCGATCCTTGAACTCTGCAGGGAAAATATAAATACTTATTGAAACAGAGCAGTGATCTAGACAAACCCACTTGCAGAAGGGTTGTCTGCCGACCATACAGATGTCCTCCCTTTCTGTTCCCTGCGCTGTGATGCGGGGGAATGGAAGAGAGCGTCACGGTGCCCAGCACAGCCGGAGCCTGTGAACGCTCCCACTGTCTATCATGCAGAACAGAAAGAGCAGCACCCACTAATCTAGTTAGTCAGACAGTAAACATTGACCAAGTGTCTAGGCAACAGCTGCTCCTAATGATGTTTACATTTAGCTTAAAGGATGGAGAGGAGAGAAGTTAGGGTGTTACCATAGAACTGGAGGTGCCCAGACTCCCCACAGTCCAGTGATCATATGGCCTTGCAGGTAGTAACTGCCTGCTGTCCTGTCATTTACGCTGAGATATTTTATTCTGCATGAGTGTCAACACTGGTTGCTGGTTGTAGGAGAGAGGGGAACAGCAAACTCAGGGACCCTTCTATTAGAGATCAAGTGTGGTGTTTTGGGTCAGCTCAGAGAAAACTCAAGGATGCATTAAAAACTCTGATATGAAAGCATAACTCTCCCAACCAGAGGGAGCTTCTATGAGCCCCTTGAAACAGCGTTTAAATATCATAGCTTCAGTTCCTTTCATTGCTGTTGGATCAGGCAGGTCACTACGTGAATGTCTTCAGAGATCTGATGACAGGGTCAAAGCAGCATATCCAATTTCTCAATTTATAGGCACTTCTTCTATTATATGTTGATGCATAATTAAGTAATCTTCTTGAGATTTTGTAAGGTCTTAAATGGTCTCATTCCTTACAGAGTGTAATAAAGAGTGTGGTGTTCCTTTATTCCAGGGCACAGTAAATTCTCCTATTTTAAGCTGTTTTCAAAAATATTTTGAAAACCACTAAACATATGCTTTAAGCCTACAAATAACAGATATTTTGCTGGAGCAAATTAACTGCCAGAGAAAAGAGCCTAAGGAAATTTAGGGCTGAGCAGAAGGAAAAAAATATATATATAAAGCTATAAATAGAGAACAACCTAGCCTGTCTTGCCAGTTGTGATACTAAATTACAGTGTAGAAACCCAGTTTATTGAATATATATCTCTGTATGTATATATATATCAAAACTATACACATATATATATATATATATTCATGGTATGTGGGGGACGGAAGATATATTTCAGTATCCACAATGTCCTGCAGGCCTCTTGCCTTTTGAGATGAACTGCATTCTATCTGTGGAATGTGTGTCTTTCTAAATAAATCCACTTTCATGTAAAAAAACAAAAACATTCCACATAATCTATTTTTTATTTGTAGGCACTGGTTATTGTCCCGCTTGTATATGCACATTTATACATATACTCCATGGGTATAGATATGCACAAGCACATATACACAAATTATATCTATTTGGTATGTCCTCTTAGGTGAAAATATATTTTATAATTGGTGGTTATAGGGTATTGTTTAAACAACTGGAGGAAGAGTCACCAAAATATTAATAGCCACCCTTATAGAGTACCTATTATATGCTGTTTATAGGGTGCGTAAATGGAATGTGTTATTTAAACTCCCCAGTGACCTTAAAAGGGTCAGTAAGTACTGTGGTGATCTAATTTTAGAGATGAAGAAAGTGAGGCTCAGAGAGGTTAAGTAACTAGACCAAAAGGACACAGCAGGTACCTGGGGTGAAGAAACCTGGGTGGTCTGACACTAACCAGGACATGGACTGTTTCTGTGTGTGCACCTGCCTGGTGAACCTTGGCGGCCTGTGCTTCCCAGAGGATGTCCGTATTACTCAGGGCAGTGAGCATTAAGGGCTCTGGAGGCTTCTGGGAGAGTGTGTCCCTGCCACCAACCCCCACACACTGGGCTTCTTCATAACTGCAAAACCTGTGTATGAGATTCCCTGGAATGAGATCACACTTCTCTGGAAGAGACTCTCCTCTCTACTCCCCTCGAGACTTACTTATAGCAAGCAGGAGCATCCTGTAGGGAGAAGGCTTAGCCCCTGCTCTCACCACCCTGGGGTCTGTTCTTGATCTGTTCTTACTGGAAAACCACCAGTGTTCTTCAGAGTGGATGGCTGGGACCGAGAGATCACTAAGTAGAGGGAATGACCCTGATCTCAGCTCTGCCATTTTCTGGGTTTTGTCATCAGTAAAATCAGGGAATAAAGAGAAGTCGCCTTTCTTGAGCACCAGTGGTTATTTACAGTGGCTCACTGCATTCTGGTACCATAGTCACTCTTGGTGACCTCTGAGGCAGGTAATATCCATGTCAGCAAGTGAAGACCACAGGGTTTCAGGAGCAGGTGACTGTGCTCAATCGAGGTGTGACATCAGAGCCCATCTCTGGCCACAGGGGAAACCCACAGTAGATGATGTCTGAGCCTCCTTTCAGCTCTGCACAGAATGACTCTATAACTGACATTCACATGAATATGGAATAGTGCAAAGGAAAGGCATCCTTGAAACTTAAAAAGGGTAGTTTTAGAGAAATGATGAAATAAACCTGTTTATGAAATAGAAACAGACTCACAGACTTAGAGAACAAACATGGTTGGGGGAAAGGGTGGAGGGATAGTTAACTTGGGATTGATGTTTACACACTGCTATATTTAAAATGAATAACCAACAGGTCCTGCTGTATAGCACAGGGAACTCTTCTCAATGTTATGTAGCAACCAAAATGAGAAAAGTATTTGAAAAAGAATAGATTCATATATATGTATAACTGAATCACTTTACTATACACCTGAAATTATCACAGCATTGTTAATCAACTAAAACATAAAATAGAAAAAGAAAAGGATACTTTTGCTATAAATATAAAGAAATATTAATGTACATCTGGTACAAGTTTATACCAAACTTACAATTACTTATAATTTAAAATGTAGCATATGCTGAAGTTTTAAGATATGTTTAAGATTTTAAACATATCTTTAAATTTTGAGATATGTTTTAGAATAGTTGAGAGAAAGCAAAGGATGGTTTTCCCTAATAAAAGTGAAGGACTACAAAACTTTGAGAAACAACCATCCTTTTCCACAAAGCATGTCCAGGAATCACCTCTGATGTAGATCTTTTGGCTGGAGAAGTCCTTGTAGAGAACATTTTCAAGTTACAGGAAATTCAGAAGCTGATTTTGGGAGATGTCAGCCAACTTTTTAAAAATTTCACTCATGTTCAAATGGCTTAAGATATACAGGTGTAAATCAGAAATATTTTATAGTTCTTTACTTTCTATGTGAAATAAACTATTTTATAGTTCCTTACTTTCTGTGTGAAGTAACGTATACTGTATTTTAATATAGCTTCTTGATCGTGACTTGCTTATTTGCATCTGAAAAATTTTGCTTAATCTAAGAACTTAAACGAACTGGTATACCACTGGGATGGATAGACTTTAAATGATAAGCTAGTTCATCTTACATATGCAGCAAAATAAATTCTTAAGATTCATTTCTTAAACAGCTTAAAGAACCTCCAAATTGAGTTACTTTGTTGAAAAAATAAAATTTAACTCTTTTCCAAATATTTTGAGGAAAATATATATAATTATAATTATAAACTGTAATTAAATCATTGCATGTTGCAGCAGGAAAATATCTTGGCCAATGAGGACATTTGGTTCAATTCCATCCATTTACAGAGGAGTCAGGTGAGGCCCAGAGATGGGAAATGAACTTCTCCCATCACAATTCATTAGCAGCTGACCTTGCCCTACAGGGAGCAGCTCTGGACTCTTCATCACACTGTTATTATCCCTAAATAATCCTAACCATACCAGATAATCACAATGGTATGATCACTCATCTAAAGCCAGACATCCTGGAATGCAAAGTCAAGTGGGTCTTAGGAAGCATCACTATTAGTGGAGGTGATGGAATTCCAGTTGAGCTATTTCCTAAAAGATGATGCTGTGAAAGTGCTGCACTCAATATGTCAGCACATTTGGAAAACTCAGCAGTGGCCACAGGACTGGAAAAGGTCAGTTTTCATTCCAATCCCAAAGAAAGGCAATGCCAAAGAATGCTCAAACTACTACACAGTTGCATTCATCTCACACACTAGTAAAGTAATGCTTAAAATTCTCCAAGCCAGGCTTCAGCAATACATGAACCGTGAACTTCCAGATGTTTAAGCTGGATTTAGAAAAGGCAGAGGAACCAGAGATCAAATTGCCAACATCCGTTGGATCATCAAAAAAGCAAGAGAGTTCCAGAAAAATATCTATTTCTGCTTTATTGACTATGCTAAAGTCTTTGACTGTGTGAATCACAACAAACTAGGGAAAATTCTGAAAGAGATGGGAATACCAGACCACCTGACCTGCCTCTTGAGAAATCTGTATGCAGGTCAGGAAGCAACAATTAGAACTGGACATGGAACAACAGAATGGTTCCAAATCAGGAAAGGAGTACGTCAAGGCTGTATATGATCATCCTGCTTATTTAACTTATATGCAGAGGATATCATGAGAAACGCTGGGCTGGATGAAGCACAAGCTGGAATCAAGATTGCCGGGAGAAATATCAATAACCTCAGATATGCAGATGACACCACCCTTATGGCAGAAATCAAAGAAGAACTAAAGAGCCTCTTGATGAAAGTGAAAGAGGAGAATGAAAAAGTTGGCTTAAAACTCAACATTCAGAAAACTAAAATCATGACATCTGGTCCCATCACTTCATGGCAAATAGATGGGGAAACAGTGGAAAGAGTGACAGACTTTTTTTTCTGGGTCTCCAAAATCACTGCAGATGGTGACTACAGCCATGAAATTAAAAGACAGTTGCTCCTTGAAAGAAAAGTTATGACCAACCTAGACAGCATATTAAAAAGCAGAGATATTACTTTGCCAACAAAGATCTTGTCTAGTCAAAGCTATGGTTTTACCAGTAGTCATGTATGGATGTGTGAGTTGGACTATAAAGAAAGCCGAGTGCCAAAGAATTGATGCCTTTGAACTGTGGTGTTGGAGAAGACTCTTCAGAGTCCCTTGGACAGCAAGGGGATCAAACCACTCAATCCTAAAGGAAATCAGTCCTGAATGTTCATTGGAAGGACTGATGCTGAAGCTGAAACTTCAATACTTTGGCCACCTCATGTGAAGAATTGACTCATTGGAAAAGACCCTGATGCTGGGAAAGATTGAAGGCAGGAGAAGGGGACAACAGAGGATGAGATGGTTGGATGGCATCACCGACTCAATAGACAAGAGTTTGAGTAAACTCTGGGAGTTGGTGATGGACAGGGAGGCCTGGTGTGCTGCAGTCCATGGGGTTGCAAAGAGTTGGACCCGACTGAGCAACTGAACTGAATTGAACTGAATCATAATGAAAGCTAACCGTAGAAATTCACAAAGGTTAGCTGAATGACCCTGGGAGGTAAGGTCATCTCCCTCATTTTTAGTTACAACATCTATGATAGTCAGGATGAGAACCCAGTTCTACTGTCCCTCCATAGCAAGTTTTCCTACAGTGCTCTCACTACCTCCGCTTCACAAGAACAAGGTGGTATGTCACTACTTCTATTGTTTTCCACTTGTTGAAAAAATCTATACAATACAATTGGTCATCAATATAATTACTACTCTTATTTTATTTTTCACAGCGGTCCCAGTTAAATCAGAATTGGCAGTGGAAATTTTGGAGAAAGGCCAGGTCCGGTTCTGGATGCAGGCTGAGAAGCTGTCTGCCAATGCCAAAGTCAACTACATATTTAATGACAAGGAGATTTTTGAAGGGCCGGTGAGTTTTATACTTTTTAGATTTTTAAACATATTGTTATAAGATGTCTAATAGGGCTGGGAAAGCCCTATTAGAATGCAGATAAGTTGTAATAAAAACCACTGAACGTGGGGTGGGGGGTTTAAATCATTTCACAAGTGGAAAATGTGAAAGGAAATATAGATTGATTATATCATATTACCCAAGTAAAATGGGAATCTAAAAACAACTTTTTGATAACATTTTGTGATTTGGGGTAATGAAACTTTAGTATTTAAAAAAGTAAATGTCAGACTTTTAATAATCAATTCTGGTCAAGGTCAGCGATTCCACGTATTTTTATTTTTCTGGATACAGTTTTTTGAAACTTTGCTCATTAAAAAAGTGTTAACAAGGAATTTTATTAGATTATGATAATTTGGAGTTTGTGTGTTTATTTTACATGGCTTATTATCATCCCATCTCACATATTTCCTCTCTTTTCCTTTTCACACTGAAGAAATATAAGATGCATATTGACCGAAACACTGGTATAATTGAAATGTTTATGGAAAAACTACAGGATGAGGATGAAGGCACATATACCTTCCAGGTTCAAGATGGAAGAGCAACTGGCCATTCTACCCTTGTTCTCATTGGAGATGGTGAGAGTTCTATGAAATATTATCTGAGAACCTTTGCTACTTCCTTCAATGTAAATACCCCACCACAGGAAAGTAGTCATGCGGGAAAAGCAGGAATTATTTCTTGATTGGATTCCAGTGTTCAAAGTGCAATTTACAGCTAATACTTCCCATAGTACTTTATTTCCTAGAAATGAAAGTTCATTTAAAAGGACACCAAAGTTATCACTGGCCCACAGGCAAGACTGCACTTAAATTATCTCATATATAAGCAAGTAGTTATTACTAAAATTCTCCAGTGAAGGGTACTACAATACAACCCAGACTGTATTATGTCTCAGAAACTATGAAACTGTCTTGTAATGTGTACCTGCTTTTAATTACTTAAATGAAGAAGAAAAATATGCATAAGCAGAGCATGTCAAATCAGTTAATCATCCATTACAACTCGGTTGTATGGCAGCTCTTATTAGCCAGTGTGGAAACCACCAAGATTTAAAATGTAGTATTTAATAAAGCAATGGAAACGCTGGCCAGGTCTCTACATTTGCAATAGACAAAGCTATTTCACTGTTTCCTGACTTCATGACCTTGAACAAGTTTCTTAGCCTTCCTAAGCCTTTTTCTTCATCTATAAATAATGAAAACAAATAGGGTGGTCTAATGTGAGTGTTATAATAATGAAAGTAAATAACTTAGCACAGTGACTGGCATATACATTTATACTGCCCAACTCTATTTCATATTTGTTTTTCGATTTTCAGTTTATAAAAAGCTCCAGAAAGAAGCTGAATTCCAGCGTCAAGAATGGATCAGGAAACAAGGTAAAAGTAGGCAGTGAATAAAGAGAAAAGCTTCAATTTCTTGAACAAAATATTCTAAGGTTATTTCCATAACAAACTAAAATGAATATTATTGCTTTGTTAATAATGCCCTGATAAATAAAAATAATTGAAAATATTTATCATTACAAATGATTAAAATTTACACATTTTATTACACATTTTAAAATATTTTAAAACTAAAATTTTAATTTCAAAAATTTCACTTTAAACATAAATCAACTTAGAATTTAAGAATGAGTTTGGATTTTTGCATTCATGATTAACTGCTGCTTACTGATGTCATTAAAATTTTATAGGTCCACATTTCGCTGAGTATTTGAGCTGGGAAGTGACTGGTGAATGTAATGTACTATTAAAATGCAAGGTAAGAAGTAGATAAATTTTTAATAATTTGGTACAAAGAAAATAAAGATAAAATAGAATGTGAGAAGAAAAGGAAGATCAATTTCTTATCTCCTCCATTCTTATCTCGTCTTATCTCTTATCATTTGCACCAAAATGATAAGTGACATGCCCTTACTGTTGAATGTTACTGTAATCGTTGGTTAGTAAGAAATATTTAAAATAAAACAATATAAAAATATGGAAAGTCAAGATGATTGTTTTAATTCATCACACATGCCCTAGTTAATAAAAACAGACTTTTTTTTATTAAGCCATTTTTTTTTTTAAAAAAAAGCAGTTCTAGGTTCAGGGCAAAATTGAGGGGAAAGGTATACAGATTTCCCACTTACCCTTGTCCCTATATGTGCATAGCCTTCTTCATTATCAACATGCTCACCAAAATGGTACAAGTGTTACAACTGATGAACCCACATGGACACATCATCACCCAAAGTCCATAGTTTACACTCTGGTTCACTCTGTGAGTGTGCATGAACGTATAAAAACCTGTATCCATCATTAGTGTATCATATGGAGTATTTTCACTGCCCCCAAAAAGCCTTGTGCACTGCCTGCTCATCCCTCACTAACCCTCCCCCAACACCTGCTGCCCCACACTTTGCAGCACATGGGATCTTAGTTCCCGAACCAGGGATCAAACCTGCATCCCCTGTATTGGAACACAGGTTCTTAATCACTGGACCACCAGGGAAGTCCCTGAAATTGTTTTCTTGATTTGTATGAAGTCTTTACCTTTTCATACAATCTTTTTTTTTTCATACAATCTTAATTATACAAGAAATACATGAATCTACTCTCCGTCATAAAAGGTTCTAACATTATAGATAAAGCTTAAGATCCCTTTAAGCATATGAAGTCGTTTAGCCCATCTGAAATTTGTGAAATGATGTATGGATATAGGATTTAAATGAATTTCCTAAAAATTGCTAAGCGAATAATTTATTAAGCCATACTTGATGGATGCTAACTAAACTTACTGCAGTAATCATTTTGCAAAAATGCATCTATCAAATCATTATGTTGTATATACTAGACATATGCCATATTATATGAATCATATCTCAGTAAAATTGGAAAATATCTAATTTAAAAGATTTCCTAACCATATTTCCCCTTCGCATTTATTTGCAAAGGTTCATTTATCTTACAAAAGTAGTTAGCTATAGACTGGAGCTTCCACATTCTGATACTTTGATAAAGTCATTTGTTTTTGTGACACAGACTATTATTTTAATCTAATGGGATTTGTCTTCCTTTGGATTTCAAATTTTTATATTTTACTTAAGTCTGTATGTTAGTTTGTATGTTTCTATGCTTTCTTGTCCATGAGATGATTTTAAAGTCTATTTTTTTTTTCTGCTGGAAATAAAGATACAATTGATTTAGGTTTATTCTTTTGTATCCCTTTTATTCTAAACTCTGACAGTTAAAACAACTCTCATCAGTTGATTTCTCTTGAAATTTCTACTTTTTCTTATATCCAATGCTACATTAAGAATTCTTTACTTTCATAAGAATAGCATTCCTTTATCTTGAGAAGCATATCTACTATTTTTCTCCTAGGTGGCGAATATTAAGAAAGAGACTAGTATTATATGGTACAAAGATGACAGGGAGATTTCAGTGGATGAAAAGCATGACTTTAAGGACGGCATATGTACCCTCCTTATAACAGAGGTAGGTGACTATAAATATAAAATGCAGCATATTACTTCTGTACCCCATGTTCTTCCAAAATACAGAGACTAGATTATGTGTTCCTTTGCCCCCGGCCTGGATCCTTACCCTGACATCACCCAAAAAGTAAGCGGTAAAGACACAAAGTTCCTCTCACTTTGTGATAAGTGAGGGTTTGTCAGACATCCAAACAGTGTTGGCAGGACGCCACAACTCTTGCCTCTCTGAGCTAGTTTTTCTCATAGATGGGTGAGTGACAGGGCAGTTAAGTGGTCTGTTCTTTGTTTGCTCTTCAGCCTCAACTGGTTCCCTAAAGATAGAGAGACAATCAGACATAGTATTTATTTCAGTACAGATTTTTATCTACTTTGTGTCTAAAAGAAGCTACCTTTCAAATACATGTGCTCATTAGTTTTTAAAATGAAGGCAGAGTAAAGGATGAGGACTTTAAGCCTCAAGTCAATTGTCACCTTAGAGGGTGAAAACTCCGGGCTGCTGGCTAGCCCGGTTTTGATGGATAGTCCCTCTGCAAACTGGTCATTGCTCACACAGCTGGATGCTTGTTCAGTGTGTTTCGATGGCAGTTCTATAAATCATGGGTCCTGAAAAATGCAAATGCCATATCCTGAGGCTACAATAAGCTGCAGTGTGGTGTATCTCTTCTTCCCTTAGTTTTCCAAGAAAGATGCTGGGATTTATGAAGTTGTTCTGAAAGATGACAGAGGAAAAGATAAGAGCAGATTGAAGCTTCTGGATGAAGGTCAGTCCAGCGGGGTCCATTCTGTGTGTTCCATACACAAATGACCAGAATTCTAAGTGAGACTGAACTGGGTGATTCAAGCCATGCTCATCTTTTGTCCATAGGTTTTGTTTTTATTGCCATTACAACAGAGCAAATTTTATTAAAAAACAAAAACTTCACTTTTAGTCTTCCTTGAAAGTCAGAAATGTAGTTTTGATCCTCAGAGAATGTATAGTCAACAATCCACTAGAGGTCTGTTTTCAATATCTGTTTCAAATATGTCTATTTCAAATATTTCATCATTTTTGTTTCAAATCTATGAAGAATGTTCCAGGATCAAATACTACCATGAATAGCGCGTCTCAAAATAGTCCACTATTTAAAAGGTGGCAAGAAAGGTTATACATATAACGCAAAGCCTCTCAGTTAGTAGCAGAGCAAGAAAACAATTTCCATTTTCCCAAGACCTCTAATGACAATTATATCATGATAAAGAAAACCTACATGGGATGCCCACATTTCCAATTTTGTTCCCGAGCAAGATCTTTAACAACATTGCTGACGAACAGCAGAAGTCTGACTTCAATTTTACCTTCCTACTCTTGGTGGAGGCAGGACTAAATGTGCTTTTTGTTTATTGGCAATAAGCATTAATTAGTCTGAGAAATATCAGGGAATTTAGATGGTTAATTCACCGTGAGTAGATGCCACAGATAAGAAAACTTCCTCTAATGTAAACGAAGCCTTCCTGGTACTTAGGGAGAAGGGAATTCTAAAGCAAAAAACATTCCTGGAAATCTCACTGTGGCTCTTTCTCTAGAATGTAACTATGGTGACAGTTTACAAAGAATTCGAGAGAATAAAAACATCAAAATCGGAGCAGAGATCTTTTAAAACTTGATAACAATTGAGTTCTTTGACCAAAGAGCATGTATTACCAATTGGTCAATAAGTCCATCTTGTGACAGGATGCTTTTGAAAGTGTATGTGACTAATTGTGTGAGATTGAACTTGACATTGAGCATTTTTATGCTAAAACTTTATGAATCTCTTTCCACAGCCTTTAAAGAGCTAATGACTGAAGTATGTAAAACAATAGGTAAGTTCTCACAAGGCAATACTTCCTTATTCTCTGGGGTGGGCTTGGTTTTGTTCAGTCGTGTCTGATTCTTTGTGACCCCATGGACTGTAGCACCCCAGGCTCCTCTGTCCATGGACTTCTCCAGGCAAGAATACTGGAGTGGGTTGCCATTTCCTTCTCCAGGGGATCTCCCTGACCCAGGGATCGAACCTGTGTCTCCTGCATTGGCAGGAGTATTCTTTACCACTAAGCCACCTGGGAAGCCTGGAATGGGCTTACAGGTGTGTGAAATACGTGTTTTCTTCTTGCAGCTTTGTCTGCGACAGATCTGAAGATCCAGAGCACAGCTGAGGGCATCCGGCTATACTCTTTTGTTACTTACTACGTGGATGATCTGAAAGTTAACTGGTCCCACAAGTAAGTGAATAAAAACCCAAGTGCTGTGTGGAAGTCCTTACTCCACTTGGAGGAAGGACTAGGGAAAACAACAGCCCTCTGTTGCACTCAGGTAAGGAGCCTTCTTACTTGTCAGGTCTGATGTTGAGAAGTGTAGGACAGAAACATCCAGGCCATCTCTTCAGTGTGAGGTTAGCATCATCCCTTAGCATGGATGTGGTGAGGCCAGTCATGGCTTGGAAATCTGTCTCCATGACCTGTTGTTGTTCAGTCGCTCAGTTGTGTCTGACTCTTTGCAACCCCATGGAGTGCAGCACGCCAGGTTCCTCTGTCTTCCACTATCTCCCAGAGTTTGTTCAAACTCAGGCAGGTAATTGAGTCGGTGATGCCATCCAACCATCTCATCCTCTGTCACCCCCCTTCTCAAATCACAATTTGTATACGCCTCTATAATATTACCTTCACCTCCACACAATCACGCTTTGCCAGATTCTTATCTGGTCTTTCCAAACACACCTAACCCATGCTGTGCTCTGGACAAAACAGCAGCAGCCTGCACCAAACTTCCTGTTGCGTGACTTAAAGCTCATTGACCCCAGAAGCCTGATCCAAAGTGGTGCCCAATTTTATCATCATTGTCATTGTAGCAGTTGGCATAGTGGGGCATTAGCGTGTTTCCTCAGAAGCTTTGGAGATCTCACGATGACTTTGGGAATGTGTATTTGAACTAGATTGAGCCTGAAGATCCATTCTAATCCCAGGCTTCCTTTGTACAATTTGGAGGGATTTCATTCAAGTTCTCCTTGGGGATTCCAAAGCCTGAAGTAGGTTTCTTAGTTAAACCAGGCCTCCCATTTACACCATTACACCACTCTGCACTTCACTGAAATTTCCTGAGCTGAGAGAGGCCAGCAGGCTGCCACAGAAACCAGTGAGGCACACCCACCTTCATCCACTCTTGGGGTGCAGTGGACACTCATTCCCAAAGACCTTGTGCGCCCCGCCTAGCAGAAGGTCACTGTGGGTCCCTGGGAGGAGTAAAACAACAGTGTTTACTTATATCTTCCCTTCAGTGACGTTGACTTAAAAAATAGTCACAACCTACAAGTTGAGAGTTATATTTTCTTTGGTACAGATTTTTAGGACTTAAGCCCGGGAGGCAGCTTCTCAAGTAGCCCTGAGAGAACTGTTCTGAAGAGGCGAGGGGAGGAGTCAGGTTACATAGATGTCTACAACAAAGGGAAAGTAGTCTGAACATCAAAAGTGTTTTTGTAAATTTAAGAAAACCAGATATCTCAAGTTAAGGAATTTAGCGCTTTTCTCAATATGGGAAGATGCAAGAGTCTGAGCTCACTGAAATCATTCCTTTCATATGTATCTCAGCTATCTGGGGGCAGTATTTTGCATTTTTCACATCCTGAGTCCCTCAGTGCTTACCTGTAGGGAGTGGTTGCAGCCTCATGGTATTGATCCCAGTTATTGTTCTCCTTCCTGGGTGCCCTCCTGGCTCAGAAATTCATATTTGAAGGGCTATGATCACTCATGGCGTGACTTCCTTGTTTACTAATTTGGCAAGAATAGTCCATTTCTCAGTGGACATTTATAGTATGCTGGGCACTGCTCCAAGTCCTTTAGAGGTACGAAATCATTTAATATTCAAACTCTGTGAGATGGGTACTTCTCACTTTAGTGACTAGGAAGCTTAGGTTCTGGGAGGTGACTGGCCTGAGGTCATCAACTCTGTGATAGGTGAAGGGCTGAACCCAGGGAGCCTGGCCCCAGAGCTCCTCCATCACGGCACTACTCTGGATTCAAGTTTCATTAAAGGTTTAGATGGAACATTTCACCAGAACCGGGTCCCATGAAGCATTCATTTATGTTTTCTTGAACATGACTTCACTGTTATGTAGAACAGCATTTTGTTAGGTTTACTGTTATTACTATTGATTTCCTGAATTCTTTTTAAAAAATGAAAACAAGTGAAATTCCACTTTGAATGCCTGGAGTTTCATTCCTTTGTTCTATTTCTTACAGAATACATTTTAGGAAAGTGATTATAAGGTAAAATAGATCAAATTCTAGGAAATTCCTCTGTGACCTCTAGGGCATTCTAATATATTCGTCTGAAGAATAAGAGAAGATAGATTAATTGAATCATCAATCAAAAGGCTTTACATCATCTCTAATAGAATTACATGTTCCCCAAAATTAGAACATGGGGTTTTAAGGGAAACTACTGTCAGACTAGTAAGGCATAAGCTTCATCCATTGTTTGGTATGTCAGCTACATGAGTGTTTTGTGTGCACACAGACATGTGACTGTAAAAGGTTCAGGAACCAAGGACTGATTGTTCTCCCTGTGTTTATGTAAGCATGCAGTGTGATGCAAAAAAACCTTAAAATGGGTTTGGATCTTGACTTTGCTCTTCTCTTCCCTTGGATCTTAGGCAAGTCATCTAGTTTTCTGAAACTCAGGTTTCCCTCCTATAAAATAGGAGCAGTAATGTCTGTTCTAACTCACAACACTAATGGACACAATGAGAGAATTAATCACACTTTGAAAACCGGGACGTGCTTTACAAATGTAAGGTACTATTATGTGATCCTGTGGACTGTATTCCACCAGGTTCCTCTGTCCATGGAACTTTTCAGGCAAGAATACTGGAGCCAGTTGCCATTCTGTTCTCCAGGGGATCTTACAGACCCAGGGATCAAGCCCATATCTCTTGCATCTCCTGCATTGACAGGCGGATTCTTTATTATTGTGCCTTGGGGAAGCCCATTATGCATGTTAGCCAGATATTAAAGAACTCAAGACTTACCACAGCAAAGCAGAGAACTGTCTGCCTTTCTAACTCTCTAGGACATATACATATATATTGCTCAGGCTAAAGTCTATGGGTACAGATGGGTTCCTTTACCCTATGTTTTATGGCATTTTAATTTTAATGTCTTTTAAAGAATGTGATATATAAGAAAAATGCTGAATATTTATTTGAAATCTGAAATTTCTGGTGGAGATTTTTGGTTTTTTATTTTTTAAAGCTCATTTTATTTATTACAACCCCAAACATAATATATGTTTGTTTTAGAAAATATATTTACTATCATACTAAAATTAGAAAGAGTTTATAAAATGATACCACCCATGGTTTTCCTAGCCACAGTATATACATTTTGAGGAAACTTCCAGTCTTTTCTCCATGCATAACTGTTGCTGTAAATAGTTTTGTATACTACCTTATTTTTCCTTGGTCTTCCCCTGTGGCTCAGATGGTAAAGAATCTGCCTGCAATGCAGGAGGGAGATCCAGGTTCGATCCCTGGGTCAGGAAGATCTACGGCTACTACTTATTTTTTTCTATTTCCTCACATGTTTATGAACTTTTCATAGAGTTTAACATCACTGAGAGTACATTGTGTGTGTGTGTTAATTGCTCAGTTGTGTCCGACTCTACAATTCCAAGGACTGTAGCCCATCAGGCTTCTCTGTCCATGGAATTCTATAGGCAAGAATACTGGAATGGGCTGCCACTCCCTTCCCCAGGGGATCTTCCTGACTCAGGGATTGAACCTGGATCTCTTGCATTGCAGGCTATTCTTTACTGTCTGAGGCACCAGGGAGGCCCCTGAGAGTACACTACTTTCGCCTTTCTTCTCTTATTTCATCTTTAACAATAGGGTTTCTAGACTGTCAGATCCAAGGGCTCTATTTGCTTTTATTGTCTTGTAAAGAAGATGATGTGCGGGTCTGCATATGACCAGCTACAGAATAGGAGGAGACACACATCCAGGGTCAGAGTAGGTGCCTCATTCATTTTGACAGCAACTCTGCTTCTCATTTATTCTTGGCCTGACTACTGAGCACATATTTACATTTGTCTTAAATAGCTTTGTAACCACGTATGTCAATAGATATCAGCCACAGATGAACCTCCTTAGATCTGTTTTTAACTAGTCTGTAAAAACCCCATTTATAGCCATAGACCATCTGCGTGAGACGTGCAGTAATAATATGTGGAGTTTGGTCTTTTCTGTTTAAAGAGTCCCTTAGTCCTACAAATAAACCCAAGCAGAAACAAAGATAATTAATACCCCTGAGAAGTACTGGTGCTCAATCTGAGTCCCAGACCACTACTGGGAGGTCAATGTGCAGATGGCCAAACCCCCACCACCCCAGGCCTTGGAAACCTTGTTCTGTGATTCAGGACCCATAATTTCTCTGAAGCAGAAGAGCATGTGAGGATCTCATGTTATTTTGAAAGCCTGTAAAACTTGATGATAAGACCTTCAATACAAGACAAAGTAAAGGTAAGCTCTGGATGAAAGTCACCAATAACAAGGTTTTCTTTTGATCAAAACAGTGGTACTCCTATTAAGTACTCAGACAGAGTTAAGAGTGGGGTCACCGGGGAACAGATTTGGCTGCAAATCAACGAGCCCACCCCCAATGACAAGGGCAAGTACGTGATGGAGCTCTTTGACGGTAAAACCGGACACCAGAAGATGGTGGACCTTTCTGGACAAGGTAAACGGATGCTCTGCAGGTTAGAACCCACAGTGGAGATTGCTGTTGCTGTTCTTCAGCTGCTAAGTCATGTCCAACTCTTTGCAACCCCATGGACTGCAGTATCCCTGGCTTCCCTGTCCTTCACCACCTCCCAGAGTCTGCTCAAACTCATGTCCATTGAGTCGGTGATGCCATCCAATCATGGCATTCTCTGTCTTCTCCTTCTCCTACTGCCCTCAATCTTTCCCAGCATCAGCGTCTTTTCCAATGAGTCAGCTCTTTGCATCAAGTAGCCAAACCATTGGAGCTTCAGCTTCAGCATCAGTACTTCCAGTGAATATTCAGGGTTGCTTTCCTTTAAGATTCACTGGTTTGATATCCTTGCTGTCCAAGTGTCTCTCAAGAGTCTTCTCCAGCATCACAATTCAAAAGCATCAGCTGTGGAAGATGTGGGCTTTTTAAAAAAGGTTGGAGGCTCCCTGTACTTTATAGCAGGTTCCCACTAGCTATTTTACACTAGGTAGTATACGTATGTCAATGCTACTCTCGCAGTTCATCCCACTCAAAACTTATTTAAATTTGCTTTTATTCTCTGCCCACTGAAGCTTGTTTAACTACCCAACTCTCAAATCCCCCTCAAACAAGAGGCCTTAGGTTGTTTGACCAGAATGATCCCCTGCAGGAAACACACTAGCTCAGCCTTGCTGTCTTCTTCTGGTGTGATGTGAACAAGAAGAGCAGCCCTAAGTAACCTGTTTAGCCCAGCTGTCTACCTCCAGAGCCTGTAAGCCTGGCTTTGTGCTGATTTTTCCCATCTATAAAAGGGGGCAGACCGGTTTTACGTACACATTTTCTAGATGTAAAATGTTACGATTCCCAGACCACAGGGGAGCTTAAAGACCAGGTGAGAGAGATTAAAAAATGAAGCTATATTTTCGCCTGACATCTTCAAAGTGCCTTACTCTGTAGGCTCAGAAAAAAAATTATTTTAGAACTCTCATTTCTTTGTCTCTGTGTCTTTTATTTCGTCTCCTGCATAGCATAGAAAGAGTGCTTCAGGCTAGCACTGGCACACGCTGTGATTTACCGCAAACGGATGGGCCGGACCACAGAACAGGGTGTTTAACTGTCTGTGACGTGCAGAATAATTTAATGAGAGGAAAGCTTTTCTGTTGCTCAGGATTTTTAACAGAAAACCAATCCATATTTGAAAGAGACCTTTCTTCCCATTCCATCTTTAAGAAAAAAAAAAAGAACTTTTAATTTTGTATTGGGGGCTTTCCTGGTGGCTCAGATGGTAAAGAATTTGCCTGCAATGCCAGAGACCCAGCTTCAATCCCTGGGTTAGGAAGATCCCCAGGAGAAGGGAATGGCAACCCACTCCAGTATTCCTGCCTGGAGAATTCCGTGAACAGAGGAGGCTGGTGGGCTATATTCCATGGGTCACAAGGAGCTGGACACAACTGGGTGACTAGCACAGAGCCGATCAATGAACAATGTTGTGATAGTTTCAGGTGAGAGCGAAGGGACTCAGGCATACAGATGCATGTATCCATTCCCCCCCAAGCCCCCTCCCACCCAGGCTGCCACACAACATCGAGCAGAGGTTCATCCCATTCCGTCTTTGGCTGAGCGAATCTTTGCTTTTCTGTTCGGAGGGTTGAAGTCTTCTCACTGAATTGAAATCTTCTAAAATCCACTATTTCATACTTTCTGTCTAGAAAGTATTTGCTTCTCTTGTTAAGCCTTTGAGTCATAGGGACTGCTCGGGTGCAGCCTCCTTCAAAGCCCACCACGTTAGGTCTGGACTGATTACACTGCGCTCATGTTGTAAGCTCTCATAGGCCCCTGTGTGTGGCCAGTTCTGGGTGAGAAAATTCTAACTTCTCCTTTTTTCTCTTCAAGCGTACGATGAGGCCTTTGCGGAATTCCAGAGATTGAAGTAAGTCCCCCCCTTTCCCAGCGATGCCCCCATGGGCACCCTTGCGCTCCTCCCCGTCTGCGTCAGCGGGGCAGAGGGTCCTGTACTGGGGCAAATGCAGGCGGAGCAGCGCTTCCTGCCACTTTGCTGAGCAGCAGAAACAGAAATGCAACCGGGGTTGGCTACTTGGCAGTAACACTAAAACAAAACCCTTCTTTGTTTGCGTGTTTGTTCGTTTCTCTCAACCACAGACAAGCTGCCATCGCCGAGAAGAGTAAGTAAACCCCCTTCGAGTTTGTTCCTAGTGTGGCTTCAAAATACAACTTTTATTTTTCTATTATTACTGCAGATGGAGGAGAGTGAAAGCTTTTTTTTTTTTTTTCTTTTTCCTTTTTTTTCATTTCTCTGTATATATTTAAAACCTTAGGTGTTCTGCCTGTGTTGTCCTTTAGTCTCTTGAGTAAGACAGTCTGGAAAAGAAGGTCTCAGGTTACACTGTAAGAATGGCTCCCAGCCTAAACCTGAAAAAGTCTATTATAAAAATCTCCTGTAAGGATGGCTCCCAGCCTCAACATGAAAAATCTCTGGGCTGCAAATCACACCATAGGTTGGTCATCACTTCCGTCTCTCACCTCTCTTGAACTCTGCTGTGGACGAGAAGCCTGACCCTCCCTCTGCTCCATGAGCTCCTTCCTGAGGTCTCTGGACCACAGTATCTTAGAGCTGGAAGAGACCTGAAAGCCTGTCTAGATTCCTGTTCTTAAATGATTGCATAGAACACTTAATTCAAACAAAATCTTCCACGTGGACCCGATAACATAGGTGAGGGCCAAGCTATCTTCAGTGAAGTCAGGATGAATCCCATGGACACCAGGCAGCAGAGTAGACAAGCTTCATATCCACAGGTTTAATGCAAGCCCCCCACCCCCAATGAGGAGACTGAGGTCCACGTGTGACATGACTCACCTAGCACTATCCAGTAAGAGGCACGGGGGCCAGGCAGTGGGTCAGGCCCACAGGTGGTATTAAGTGCAAAGTCAGCAGCAGAAGGCAGTCAACACTCATTCAAAGCTTTAGCGTGACTTAGTGGAGAATGGAATGTATAATAGAAATAAGGATGTAGAGTCACTCATTCACTAAAGCAGGCTGAAAAGGAGAGGGTGGTGCCACTGCACTAGTGCTGAATGAATGACAGAAAGGCATCCTTCCCTGGGACCAAGGCTGTCACACCTGTAGCACAAAGCTGGGGTGAGGGTGGGGATGTCAGCCCTAGATTTCAGCACCCCTCCTACCCCGTCCCCTCAGTCATAGAAAGGGGCCCTGCAGAACATCTGAAGAACTCCCCGGAAACGAGAAGGGGATGCTCTGTAGGGAAGGCCCCAAGGAAAGCCCATGTCTTCTCCAGCCTCTAGATCTCCCGGCACACAGCCTCCACTTATGCAGCCTTTTTGAGTCAGAGGGGAGCCCATGGAAGAGGCCATGCTCTGCTCTGCCCCCTCTGGCCAAGCTCACTGAGCTGCAGCAGGGCCAGGCTGAGAACAGCCGCCAGGCTCACAGAGCGGATCATGACGTGATCTCAGGTTCAGATAGAGGCACCTGTGTGTGAGGGAGATGAATGTTCAGAAATTGCAGGATCCTTTTCTTATTTTGCATAGTGAAAGCAGGTATACAATGACTATAAGGACAGGGAAACTAAATAGGACGATGAGTTCTGTTGGGTGGCTCTGTGTGTGCATGTGATGGCTGCTGCTTGTGGTTTCAGTGATTAACCAGAAATGCCTGTGCTTACAGATCGCGCCCGGGTGGTGGGTGGCCTCCCCGATGTGGTCACCATCCAAGAGGGCAAGGTAAGTTTGGAGCACTCCTGTCCCCACTTCTTCCACACTGGAAAGGGGTTCCAGTGCCCCACACTTGGTTCCCACCATCTTCCTCATATGCCATGGCTGCTCATGCCTGACTTTAGTATAGTCGCATACAAGGTTCAAAGTGTAGTCAGTTTTCCACTCATCGGAAGATGTTTTGTAGGCCAAGCATCAGGATGTACATTTGTTTAATGTGGGCATGTGTAGACCTCTTAGTCTCTCTCCAGAAGTAGGTCTCTTTAAAATCAGGAGAAGCGAAATGTTCAATCATAACTATACGACAAACATAATTGATGAAAGAAGCAACCTCTAATGCTAGTGGAAAATGGGCTGACCTATGGGATTCCTCATCTTTGAAGGGAAATGTACTGCTCCGTGAATCTCTATAGGATCCATCACAGCAGAAAACTGATTTATTTCCATTTGGTTTTAAACAGATATTTGTTTGCTCCATAATAATCTCTCTGAAGAGCAGTGAATGTCATGTGTAACCTGGATTTACTTTCTTCATCCCTGAGAAAAGTGGAAGTGTTAATCACTCGGTTATGTCTGACTCTTTGCAACCCCATGGACTGTAGCGTGCCAGGCTCCTCTGTCCATGGAATTCTCCAGGAGAGAATGCTGGAGTGGGTCAATCTTCCCTTCTCCAATGGCAATAGTTTCTCTTAATGGCAATAGTTTGACTCATATTTTTTTTCCTGAAATGTGTTTGCAGAATAATTCAATAAGAAGTGCTAAGTAATCATGGAAAGAAATTTATTGCTATCTACCCAATTCTAAATGATATGCTTATGAAAGAGGCAACAAGGGATCATAAAAGGCCCTTCCAGATAGAAGGATATTCTTTTCCATGTATATGGTGAGCCCTACTCTTTTTCTTATAACTTCTGGACTTCAGTAAGAAAAAAATACAAGAATGGAATTTAGGACTTCCCTGGTGGTCCAGTGGTTAAGAATCACCTGCCTTATAGGGGACACAGGTTCAATCTCTGGTCCAGGAAGACTCAACATGCTTCAGGGCAGCTAAATCCATGCACCACAACTACTGAAACCTGAACACTCTAGAGCCCACGCTCTGCAACAGGAGAAGCCACAACAATGAGAAGCCCATGCACCACAGGTAGAGAGTAGCCCCTGCTTGCTGCAACCAGAGAAAGCCCACTCGCAGCAACAAAGACCCAGTGCAGCCAAAATAAATTAATTTAAAAAATTACATATACCTATGGCTGATTCATTTTGAGGTTTGGTAGAAAACAGCAAAATTCTGTAAAGCAATTATCCTTCAGTAAAATAATAAATTAATTTAAAAAATTAATTCCTTCAGGATGGAAAATTCTAAAAAAGACTGGAACTTAAAATGTGAAGTAAATTCATCATCTTTGGTCTTCAGGGAAATATAAATTAAAACCACAGTGAAATATGACACACCTATCAGAATTACTAAAATATAAAAGTGACAACAATAAATGCTGGTGAAGCTGCAGAGAGGCTGAATCACTCCTACATGGCTGTTGGAAATATAGATCAAAATTATACAGCTACTCAGGAAAGCAGTTTGGCAATCTCTTCAAGTAATGAAATATACATTTACCATACTATCCAGCAATTGTACTCCTAGATATTTATCTTAGAGAGATTAAAACATATGCTCACATAAAAACATGCACATAAATGTTCATAGCAGCTTTATTCATAATAGCCCCAAACTGGAAACAGCTCAAGTGACCCTTGCAGGTATATGCACACCATGGCACCCTTCTGAGCCAAAGGGACAAGCTGTTAACACCTGCAATAACTTGGATGAATCTGCAAGGAATTACGCTCAGTGGAAAAGGTACTCTGGAAATGTTACCTCCTGTATGATGCTATTTATATAATGCTTTGGAAGTTATAATAATCGAGAAATGGATATAGGTTAGTGGTTGCCAGGAGTTAGGAACCAGCTTGGAAGTGGGGAGGTGAGTGTGGTTATAAATGGACCACAGGAAGGATCATGGTGGGAATGGAAATGTTCTATATCCTGACTGATGTGGTGGATACACAAACATGGACAAGTGATAGAACCGAATAGATCTAAAGACACAAAATCACAAGAAAACAGGGGAAATCTATTATATCAGCATCAGTCTCCTGGTTGTGCTTTTATGCTGTAGTTTTGTCAAATGTTACTACTGGGGAAAATTCAGTAAAGGAAATCTATTATTTGATAGATCTAAACATTGATCTTTTAAAGTAAGAGGTTTTCAGCACAGATGGTAATATAATAAAATATTAGGAAAGAGGAATACATTTTGGCAGCGCACCTTTGCAACTGCAGCAGCTTGAGTGGGTGTGGGGGGAGAGATAAAGTGAGGAAGACAGGATGTGAAAATGAGTCACATTTTTGAAGCAGCTGTGGGGCTTCTGCTGCAGGGCTCGGTGACACAAACGAAACGCAAAAGCGAGCAGGTAGAGATGATGACAATGAGGAGATGTCTCTACTGAGACAGGGTCCAAAATGACACCTTAGACCACAAGGCCTCGGTGTGTTTATGGGAACTGGAAGCAAATGCCTTCTTGGAGCTTTGATCATAAGTGTTTCCAAAGCCAGAAAACCAAGGCCCCAGAGAAACCGCCTCAAGTGTGATTTTGAAATGTAACTTGTACAGGTGCACACAGCCCAGCCCGGCAAATTTAGGCTTGTCCTCCATCTGGTCAGGCCGACCCCCCAGAAGGATGCCTCAAGGTGGATGTTACAGCTGATACATCTCCCCTCTCCTAACACCTGTTTTGCAGGCGCTTAACCTCACGTGCATTGTGTGGGGCGACCCGCCTCCGGAGGTCTCCTGGCTGAAGAACGAGAAGTTCCTGGCCTCGGATGAGCACTGCAACCTGAAGTTTGAGGCTGGCAAGACGGCCTACTTCACCATCAACGGGGTCAGGACATCCGACTCGGGCAAGTACGGGCTGGTCGTGAAGAACAAGTATGGCTCGGAGATCAGCGACTTCACTGTCAGCGTGTTCATCCCAGAGGAGGAAGCCAGGAGTGTGGCCGAGGAGCCCCAGAAGGGCAACAAGAAGGCCAAGTGACCAGAGGGCGAGGGGGCCGAGGGGCCGAGGAGGGGAGAGCCACGCCCAGCTGCCTCGAGTCACGTGTGTGCAGGTGGTTTGAGCTGAGCACCAGGAAGCCTCCAATTCTCTATTTTTGTGCTGGCTTTGGGGGGTGGTGGCGGGGATTGTCAAATCTTTGTTCATGTAAGAAAGCATCAAATAGTGACATTTTACTCATTTTTCTTTATCCACATTGTATTAAGAAAATAACATTGGTAGCATAAATGTTAGGAAACGGTTTTAAGGCAGAGACCAGAGTAAAGTCAGAGGGACGTAGCCCGATGGTCAGAGGAAGTGCTGTGGAGCCGTGTGGACATGGCTGGCCTTTGAGTAGTCTGCTCTCCCTGTTCTCAGTGATGTGTCAGCATCTCGTCCAGATGAGACCAGCTGTTAGGCCGGCCAGTCCATGTCATGTGTTGTGACAGTAGCGGTGTGCGTTTTTGGGTGGCTGGTGATCTGGAACCTCTCGGTCCTAATAAACAGTTCACACCCCTCTCTTCCCCATCAGTGCTGCTCTTGTTTCACCATTTTGGCTGCCTAGCTGGGTGGTCTCCACTGCACCTTTCTTGCTGCTTCTTGTAACATGTCTTCTGATTTAAATTCCTTTGGCTAAAACAGTGAGCTATTGGTATCTAGAATATCCATAGAAGAGACTATTCAAAGTTTAGCCTTAGGAAGTTAGTATTCAACATATTGAAGTAATAAATTTAAAAATCTAGGCCTTAAACCCTTGAAGTTTGACTTTAAAACCTTGTTTTTCTAATTTAAAATATTAGCCACTGAAATATTAATTTTAAGAGTGTTTTAATAACATAAGTTCCCTTTAACTTGTTAAATTGTGTGTGTGTTCAGTTGCTTAGTCATGTCCAGCTCTTTGTGAGCCCATGGACCATAGCCCACCAGGCTCATCTGCTCATGGGATTTCCCAGGAAAGAATACTAGAGTGTTGCCATTTCCTCCTCCAGGGATCTTCCCAACCTAGGGATTGAACCTGTGTCTCCTGCGTTGCCGCCGGATTCTAATTAATATATTTGCTTTTTATTTTAAGTAACACTATTGTCTGACTTAACCAACAAAAACTTTCTAAGAACTTAAATGACCCATTAAACTAAGCATATAAATAAGAAAATGTTGATTTCTCTCATATGTTCTCAAGTTGTACATAAACTTAGTAAGACTTCAACAGAAAATCAAAATCAATTAAACAGTTTAGTTAGAATCGTAAGATAAGTTGTTACTAAGATAAAGGATCAGAAACATTACCAGTACATAAAAATAAAATATGAACATACTTCATAATGCAAAAATACTAATTTTACCTAGATGTAGCCCCGAGGGCCTCGGACTGGAGTTCTAACACCTACGCCAGAACAGAAGGCGTGAACTTGGATTGTTTGCCGTGGGGAGCTGGACACCAAGACCTCATCACAGCTCTGGGATGCACAAAAGGTAGTTTAGTAAAAAAAACAGGGATAGTAAAAAAACAAATAAATAGGAACAGTAAAAAATATCACCAACTGACATGGAGAAGAAGCTCTACTGAAACTTACCATCTGCCTGGCAGTAGTTCTGGGGAGAAAAACAAAGTTAATGGGTTCCTGAAGCCAGCACTGCATGCTCGTGGGGTCCAGATTTACAGCAACACCACATGGTGTAGGAACCCTAGCCAAGAGTTCCCATAAAAATGGCCAATGTCTGGGCCCCAGAGAGGCAAATGTAAATGACACTATAAGGAACTTCTGTGTCTGCCCACAAAGGATTGCTGTCATGGAAATCATTCTCCCACCGTAAACCACTAGAAAACCTGACAATATATGCGGGACAGAACAACTGGGGCATTGGCTAACAGACTTGCAGGGGTGTGATGCCCCAGAGAAAGGAAAACAGTAATGAGAGACAGGTGAGGGTTCCAGCTTGTTGTGTGGAGAGTGGATGGTGTTCAGGCTGCAGTCCAGCCAGGGGGACCCAAAGAGAACGTCAGACTCGCTGAGTTGAGGAGATGGAGACTGAAGTTCAGGGAGGCCGAGGTGGCTGGGATTCATGGGAAGGGGCACTGGAGGAAGAGTCTAACAGAGGAGCATGGACTGCAGCAGATGGGTCTCTGACTGAGAGCTGCTCTGAGGGTTCTGGGGAGAGCTCAGGAGGTGGGGGGGCCAGCAGTCCTGGGAGCCCATGCAGACTGCGAAAAGTTCTCCTTCCCACCAGCCAGAAGGGAAAGACTTTATAATACATGGGGCATTGGATAGAGGCCTCAGCAGTTTCTCACCCTACTGTGTGTGTGTGTGTGTGCACGCTCAGTCGCTAAGTCGTCACCGACTGTTTGCAACACGATAGACTGTAGCCCACCAGGCTCCTCTATCCATGGGATTTCCCAGACAACAATACTGGAGTGGGTTGCCATTTCCTCCTCCAGGGGATCTTCCTGACCCAGGGAGGATTAAACCTGTGTCTCCTGCCTTGGCAGGTAGATTCTTTACTGCTGTGCCACTGGAGAAGCCCTTCTCACCTTAGTAGTGGGGCTAAATTAACTTTAAACTAAAAGCTGCCCTAGACCCACTCTAACAGAGCTTGAAAGTAAGCTTCAAGAGGATCAAATGTCTATGGTGACCTAATGGTATGTCAGGACAAAGTGCAACACACTGTAACTGAATGCATTACCAACAGTGTGAGATTTATAACAGTAACAGCTAGAATCCAATCAAAGTGAACAAGTGTGCAAAGAAGCAAGAAAATATGACTAACAGCCAAGAGGAAAGTACATCAAAGATACATAAGTCCTGGAGACGTAAGGTACAGTATGGTGACTGTAGTTAATAATTGTTGTTTAGACACTAAGCAGTGTCCAACTCTGCGACCCAATGGACTGTGGCCTGCTGGGCTCCTCTGCCCATGGGATTTTCCAGGCAAGAATACTGGAGTGGGTTGCCATTTCCTTCCTGACCCAGGGATCAAACCCTCATCTCCTGCTAGGCAGGTGCTTCTTTACCACTCAGCCACTGGGGAAACTTGTAGTTAATAATACCATATTGCTTGCTTACAAGTTCCAAAGAGAGTAGGTGGTAAAAGACTTCATCATAAGAAAAGAAATTTGTAACTGTGTGAGGTGATAGAGGTTAACTAAACTTATTATGGTAATCATTTTACAATATATACATATGTCAAATCATGTTGTATACCTAAAACTAATATGTCCATTATATCTCAGTAAAACTGGGAAAATACTTTATACACAAGTATCATGGGAGTAACAAGAATAATTCATTATTTAGTTAATACTATTTGATCAGATAATGAAAATTCAGAATAATTTTTAGTCCTTTTTAAGCACAATATAATCCCAACAGCAAATGTAATCATAATTTTAATGAAAGCTGTTTAAGTAGCTTTTGAAATATGATGAGCTATGTGTATATATGTTCAGTTCAGTCGCTCAGTCATGTCCGACTCTTTGTAACCCCATGAATCACAGCAGACCAGGCCTCCCTGTCCATCACCAACTCCAAGAGTCTACCCAAACTCCTGTCCATCGAGTCAGTGATGCCATCCAGTCATCTCATCTTCTGTCATTCCCTTCTCCTCTTGCTCCCAATCCCTCCCAGCATCAGGGTCTTTTCCAATGAGTCAACTCTTCGCATTAGGTGGCCAAAGTATTGGAGTTTCAGGTTCAGCATCAGTCCTTCCAATGAACACCCAGGACTGATCTCCTTTAGGATGGACTGGTTGGATCTCCTTGTAGTCCAAGGGACTCTCAAGAGTCTTCTCCAACACCACAGTTCAAAAGCATCAATTCTTTGGCGCTCAGCTTTCTTCACAGTCCAACTCTCACATCCATACATGACCACTGGAAAAACCATAGCCTTGACTAGATGGACCTTTGTTGGCAAAGTAATGTCTCTGCTTTTTAATATGCTATCTAGGTTGGTCATAACTTTCCTTCCAAGGAGTAAGTGTCTTTTAATTTCATGGCTGCAATCACCATCTGCAGTGATTTTGGAGCCCCCCCAAATTAAGTCTGACACTGTTTCCACTGTCTCCCCATCTATTTCCCATGAAGTGATGGGACCAGATGCCATGATCTTAGTTTTCTGAATGTTGAATTTAAGCCAACTTTTTCACTCTCCTCTTTCACTTTTACCTTTCTTAAAAGAGGCTTTTTAGTTCCTCTTCACTTTCTGCCATAAGGGTGGTGTCATCTGCATATCTGAGGTTATTGATAATTTATCCCGGCAATCTTGATTCCAGCTTGTGCTTCTTCCAGCCCAGCGTTTCTCATGATGTACTCTGCATATAAGTTAAATAAGCAGGGTGACAATATACAGCCTTGACTACTCCTTTCTCTATTTGGAAGCAGTCTGTTGTTCCATGTTACTTGTTGGTAACTTATAAGCATGTAACTTGAAATGGCATTGCTATAGTTTATGATCATTAATCTAAGTTAGCAGATGTCTACAATCTAATAACATGATACACGAGGGAAAAAAGGAAAAGTACATTAATAAAAACAAAGCCAGAAATGACAGAGATGATAGAATTAGCAGACATGGACCTTAAAACATCTGTTATAACTGTATTTTCAAGAAGTTAGAGGAAAGATTGAATACGTCAAATAGAGACATGGAAGAATACCAAGGCATATCATAATGAATTTTCTGAAAAGCATTGGTAAAGAGAAAAATCTTACAAGCAGCCAGAGGGAAAAAGACAAATTACATAAGAGGAACAAAAATGAGAACAACACGAGACTTCTCATGAGAAGCCATAGAAGCCAAAGGACTGTGGAGCAAGACCTTAAATGTGCCACATGAAAAGCAAAAACTCTCAACCTAGTCTTCTCTACCTACTGAAAATATAATTCAAAACTTAAGGCAAAATAAAGACTTTATCCTCGAAACTAAAGCTGAGATACCCACTGGCAGGAGATTTGCACTACAAGAAATGTTCAAGGAAGTTCTTCAGTCAGAAGGCAAATGGCATCAGAT